CCAGGTGGAACAGCAGAGGGTGAAACAGGGCCCTGGACCTGGCAGCATTCACTACTCTGTCCTGGACTGACCAGCTGAACTTCCCTCTGTTCCTGGCAGTCCGAGGAGAGGTCTGTGCTCTTCGCAGTTGCTTCAGCACTGGTCAACTGCACCAACAGCTATGACTATGAGGAGCCTGACCCCAAGATGGTGGAGCTGGCCAAGTATGCTAAGCAGCACTTGCCTGAGCAGCACCCTAAGGTAAGGGGTACACTAGAAGAGTCTTGGAGTTTGTCTGTTGTTAGGAACAGCTGGCTTTGTGTTTCCATGTTCATCAATTTCTGCTGTGAGAAGGGCTCCCTTTCCCTGTCTGGTTGACCAAGGCCCCTCCTAAGCTGTGTCCTTCTCTAGGACAAACCGAGCTTTGTGAGGGCTCGGGTGAAGAAGCTGCTGGCAGCAGGTGTGGTGTCAGCCATGACATGTATGGTGAAGACTGAGAGCCCTGTGTTGACTAATTCCTGTAGAGAGCTGCTCTGTAGGTAAGGCTGCCTTGAGTTGGAGTGAGAGCTCTCCCAACTCTTAGGCCTTGTTAGGCTGCTAGTGTGACTGTGGGTGGAAGAGGTCCTGGGACTGTGGGCCTCTTGGAGCAAGGGAGGCCATTTGCCTGCCTTTCTTGTTGAGCCCAAGAATGGAGTATCTGCTTGTCAGAACCTCAGACCTCTCCACCCACTACTGTCTTCTCCCTGCAGAGTCTTCCTGGCTTTGGTAGAAGAGGTGGAGGACAGAGGCACTGTGGTTGCTCAGGGGGGAGGCAAGGTGAGCTGGTTTACCTATTTCTTCCTGATGCTAAGCCTTTAGCTTATAAAACATGATTCAGTACCTGTTATGCCAGAGATAAGGGTTGGATGTGGCATGGAAGGACATTATTAGTGACCATCAGGAATAGCTTCCTACAGAGTTAGTGATGCTGATGTGGGTGGGTTCTTCAGAGTACCTCAGCGTTTTATGCCCATTAAAATCCTGAGCTCACCTCCCTTTCTCTTTTCTCACTTACTTCCATGGCCCCAGGGCCCAGCACAATCCATAACTAACTCTTAACAGGTGTTTGAGCAAGAGTTTGAGTAGTTTAATGAGAGACCTCAGGTGAATAGCATCTGAGCAGGGAGTGTTGTCAAGCCTGGAGAGAGAAGGAGAAGGGTGGGGGCACAGTTTGGCTTACATTCCCAGGCATGTCCTGGGCCACTGATGGGCTTGTTCCTACAGGCTCTGCTTCCACTGGCTCTGGAAGGCACTGAAGTGGGACAGACAAAGGCAGCCCAGGCTCTTGCAAAGCTCACCATCACCTCCAACCCAGAGATGACCTTCCCTGGTGAGCGGGTGAGTGCCTTCTTGACTCAATCGTAGCCTCTCCTCCACCCTCACTGGGCCCAGATGGCCTCTGGCTAGGGCTACTCCTTGGGACCAACATTATCAGAAGCTTTGCTAAGCCCTAGGGTAGGGGAAAGCCTTAGCAGCACTCTCTTGGAGGGTGGACTCCTCCCCATGGGGTTAGTGGAATAGCAGGGGCTGTGGTGATTAGCCCTGACCAGTGGGGGGCATATCACAGATCTATGAAGTGGTCCGGCCCCTCGTCTCCCTATTGCACCTCAACTGCTCAGGATTGCAGAACTTCGAGGCGCTCATGGCCCTAACAAACCTGGCGGGGATCAGTGAGAGGCTCAGGTAAGGGGTAAGGGCTGGGTGGGACATCAGGATTTGTATTATTCCTGGTAGATTACAGTCGATCATTGGCTTATTGGAGCCTCATAGTGACTCCTCTGTATCATACAGATGAGGAGACAGGCCAGGAGAGGCACCAAGACATTGCGTGAGAACATTGCAGGTTCTAGAGATTACCTGGCTTCAAATCTTGACCTCAGTAATTGCCAGTGTGTAACTTCAAGCAGGTTACTCACTGCTGTGTCTCAGTTTCCCCATCTGTGAGTGGGATGATTATAGTATCTAGCTCATGAAGTAGTGGTAAGAAGAATTAAATGAGAAAATACATGTAAAAGTAATTAGCACATAGACATTTTGGACCCCTAGCAATGTGTTCAGTATGTATTTGACATTAATACTAATTGTGACCTTGAGCACATTACTCTACTCAGTCCCAGTTTCCCCTTCTTTTTTTTTTTTTTTTTTTTTTAAAGAGAGAGGAGAGAGAGAGAGAGAGAATTTATTTATTTATTTTAGTTCTCGGCGGACACAACATCTTTGTTGGTATGTGGTGCTGAGGATCGAACCCGGGCCGCACGCATGCCAGGCGAGCGCGCTACCGCTTGAGCCACATCCCCAGCCCCGCCAGTTTCCCCTTCTACAAAATGTAAAGATAATCATACCTGCTTTCATAATGGGGTTGTGGTGAGGAGTAAGTAAAATAATCCAAACAGCTGAACAGGTTAAGTGCTCAATCGTTAGGGTTAAATTGCACTGCTATCACCACTGCTCTGTTGTCCTACTGCCTATTTGTGAGCATTTTCCACAGTCTTATGCTGTTTCCTAGGCCTAGTCAGAAGGCTAGAAACAACTGCAGTTCATATCTGGTACAGCCCTGTCAATGGACATTCCCAAGGGAAATCCCTGATGATGCTGACTCTTCTACCTTTGTCTTCAGACAGAAGATTCTAAAGGAGAAAGCTGTGCCCATGATTGAGGGTTACATGTTTGAGGAACACGAGATGATCCGCCGGGCAGCCACAGAGTGCATGTGTAACTTGGCCATGAGCAAGGAGGTGAGTGATGGTCCAGGTTGTCCTGTCATGCAGAGATGGACTTGACCCTGTGCCCTGGATGGGCTTTGCACCCAGATGACATGGTTCTGTCCCTCCATATGACCACAGGTGCAGGACCTCTTTGAAGCCCAGGGCAATGACCGGCTGAAGCTGTTGGTGCTATACAGTGGAGAAGATGATGAATTGTTACGGCGGGCAGCTGCTGGAGGCTTGGCCATGCTCACGTCAATGCGACCCTCACTGTGCAGCCGCATCCCCCAAGTGGTCAGTGCTGTTTTTAGTGGGGAGGATAGGTGACCCTCATGGTGTTGGTGGGGGATGTCCCAGAGTGTAGGTGTGTTCTCCACCAGGATTGAGCCTATTGCTGCCCTGTTTCTTGCAGACCACACATTGGCTGGAGATCTTACAGGCCCTGCTTCTGAGCCCCAACCAGGAGCTGCAGCACCGGGGTGTTGTGGTGGTGTTGAACATGGTGGATGCCTCTAAGGAGATTGCCAGCACCCTGATGGAGAGTGAGGTGCTAGAGATCCTGTCAGTCCTGGCTAAGGGCGAGGAAGGCCCTGTTACTCGGGCTGCTGCAGCCTGCCTAGGAAAATCAATGGAATATGGGCTTATCCAACCCAACCAGGATAAAAAGTGAGGGCTGCCCTTGGCCCAAGGCTCTCACACACACTACCTATTGCACTGAGAATAAGGACAGAAGCAGCTTTGGTTGATGGGCCCTGGGATACCAAACACTCTTGCCTCTTCTCCACAGCTGCACTTTGACAATCTGTTGAGTTGTGGATCATAATCAGTCATACAGCCCTGCTCTGCCAGCACTGCCTTGAGCCTTACTCACAGGGGCCCTATTTCTTCACTGCTGTAGAGAGCTGGGGAGAGGCAGTACAACTCTGCCTGTGGATTCTAGGCATCAGGAAGGGCATATCAGTAGTCTCTTAGCTGTGAGCATCCTTTCAGTCTGTTAGGTCTGCCCCTCTAATAAAGTGTATGGTACTCAAATGTGTGCTCTCTCTCTGAGCAGGGAGGACTCTGTGGGCAGGAACTGGATATGCGTGAGTGTACAGTAGAGTTCTGTAGCAGCAGGAGAACCACCTTTATGGAAGGAATCTGATAGATTTACCTCTCCGGGGCCCACTGAGTTGCTTTTAATCCTGCTGGAGAGAGAAGGGGTAAGACCAGGAAGCTGGTCAATAGAAACCATTCAGTTTCCTGGAAATAAATGGTTTTAGGATATGGACTCCCATGTTTGCCCTTCAGTATTTTTGTCTTTATGAGTCTCGGTGACCTCCAGTCAGGCAGTGCTTGGGATTTGGGGTTGGTGGTGACCCCAATAGACCTCCAGGAGCCGAATTTGATGCAAGCCCACAAGAGTCTTTATTGCCAGCTCAAGCCTGGACTCACAACTGTTCCCAACTCAGCGGTTCCAGGGAGTGAGTCCTGGTCCTTTGTTCAGTGAGATTTTATGGGTTTTGGGGGGATACTTTATGCCTCACAACATCACACAGCAAATCATTCCATACCATGGGAAAATCAAACAACAACTCTTAACATTGAAAGCACATTCTTTGGCGGGAACAAGTTGGGTAGGGGTGATTGGCTAGTACAAGAGGGAGGTTAATTTGAACTGATTGGTTTAGGCCACGAGGGGTGTACGTGCTAAACTACATGGTTTCCCATCATGTTATCAACCACCATAAACTTCTTGGGGGTCATCGTGCATTCCAGGTATTTTCATTGTCTTATGCTGATTGGAGGTTGCTAGAGGGGGTTGCCATGGGTCCTCACCTAGCCTAACATAGTCAGGGACACTTGGCGCTGCAGACCTCTCCTGTTATTTACAAACAACTCAGCAGGGTGGGTATGTGCTTAGGAGTGCTCTGTGGGTTTTTCCAAGGACAAGGGTCAGCCCCCTTCCTTAGGACAGGCCTTGAGGTGGAAGCTGCTGTTATTTATTTTTAAAAATGGAGTCACATTAGCTTCTCAGTGTATGTCTTCACTCCTGTGAAAAACCCGTCTCTTCTGTAGTTGAGCCTGGTTGGAAGAATGGTGCAGGTCTGGGACTTTTCACCTTCCAGGACCCTCCCTTCTCTCAGAGCCTAAACCAGAGTTCCAGGCTCAGAGGCCTCAGAAGCGTGAATGACAGGGCCCAAGCCAATCAGTGGAAAGTAAAAGCGGAGACGCCCAGTACATCCGCTTCCCGTTAGCCCGGGAGTTCTGCGCATGTCCAGTAGTGAGCTACCGCCCTCAGCCTGAAGGAAGTAGTGAAGGAGCTAGAGATCCTGTCAGTCCTGGCTAAGGGCGAGGAAGGCCCTGTTACTCGTGTTCCCTCGGTGGTTCTAATCCGAGCTCCTCCGCCCTGTGAGTGTCCCTACTTACCGAAGGTTTCAGGCCCACTTTACAGATTGGCTTGTGTTAACTCAGCGTAGGTCTGGCCGACCCCGCGGGACTCCCTGGGAGGTGAGCACTTACCTGCAGCCTCCGAAACAGTGACGTTACCGCGATAGTGGGGCCAAATAGTGATTGGCCCCAGGAAGGCTGCTGCAGCCAATGGCCTCGCTTGGCGCGCGGCTCTTCAAAGCTGCTCTCCGTGGCGCTACCAGGAGAAAGGACTTTCCTGAGGGATGGAGGGTACTGGGCCAGGATCAAGGTCAGAGACCCCCCTCCCCCGGGTTGGGAGCAGACACGGGGGATGGGGGACCCATGAGCTGATTTCTGAGATTTGAAAATCCTTGTAAAATTCCGATCAAGCCTAACTTACCGAGAAAGTGGCACTGCTGTTGGAACCCCCAGACTGAACCTAATAAGCCAACAACATACCAAAGCCTTTATTTGCATCCATTACAATTCTGAGAGGTAGATACAAACAGCACCCGTCTCACCGCTTTTGTAAAGCTGAAAAAATGGATTTGGATTCAGGTTAAGAACATCGGTTGGCTGCGGAGGCGCATGTGGGTGAGGCCGGAGCTGCCTCTCTACTTCCTCGGTTTTGTTGAGAACACTGTGCAGTCGGTGGAACCTGCGCTCAGCCCTCTTCCCTGTAATCAGGAGTATGACATTTCTTTCACTTTGTAGATAACGAAGCTCCAGCTCCTAGGAGGCCAGAGACGCAGGGTGCCGCACCCTTGCTGGTCTGCAAGAAGCATCTGTGTTCCAGCCCTATCCCTGGGACCTTGCGACCCCAGCCGGGTGGCGGCCGGCAGAGGGCGCTGCGGAGCATGGCCGGAGAGCGACCTGGGGCTTGGTTCGGCTTCGGTTTCTGTGGCTTCGGACAGGCGATGGGCTCCGGGCGAGGGCGCCAGGTGCGCAATCCTGAGCCGCTGCGGGCGGGCGTCGACGTTTGTCGCGTTAGCGCGAGCTGGAGCTACACCGCCTTCGTGACCCGTGAGACCCTCACCTGATCCCGATTCCAGCCCCGCCCCAGGCAAACTACACCCTACCATATGGCCACTCCAGGATAGAACTCCCATTTTGGTCCCATTCCCTCCCTAGCCATCCATTTTGGCACCCTGCCCCTGCCTAGACCCTACTCAGGGTATATGTCCCCGGTCTGCCCACGCAGGTGCAGGTCGCTTGGAGCTGTCTGGCTCCACTAATGGAGCGGCAGAGGACTGCAGGGATGCTTGGGCCTCAGAGGGACTCCTCGTGGTGATTCGCACTGGGACGGAGTCTGGGACTGAACTGCAGGCGTGGACGCCCGGCTCAGCGCTGCGTGGGGCGCCCCTTTGGACCCAGAAGCTGGCACCTGAGGCTGAGGTGGAAGACCAAGCACGAGATGAGTCTGGAGCTGGCTCTCTGCCCCTGCTGCCGGGCGCCTGCGCCTACGTGAGTCCGCAGCCACCCTTCAGCTGGACTCTGGTCCCGGAGCTGCAGGCACGCCGGCTAGAGCTGGGCGCGGAACACGTGTTGTTGCTGTGCGCAGCTGGCCAGGTGTTCTCCTGGGGCGGGGGCAGGTGAGGGCCAGCTGAAAGCGATTAGGAGAAGCCGGAGGAGGGGCCCCTTAATGTGCCCAGAGCTGACTAGGGTTTCCCCTGCTCAGGCACGGACAGCTGGGCCACGGGACGCTGGAGGCAGAACTGGAACCAAGGCTTTTGGAGGCGTTGCAGGGCTTACCCATGGCCGAGGTTGCGGCTGGTGGCTGGCATTCTGTGTGTGTGAGTGGTGAGTGACCCAGTACTTTTCTAGACTAGCTCATGATCTTTTTACACCTCCCCCCTCTTCTAGTTTTGGTGGGAAGCCTCTTCAGGCCTCTTTTAAACTCATCACACTTTAGTCAACACCCACTCATTTGTATGACTCCCTAGTGCTTCTCAAATTCAGCCCCTCTGCCTCCTCACACCTGGGCCGATTCAGATGTTTCTCTACTTCTATTACTGTTCTCAGTAACCCTCCCAACCACCTGCCCGCAGCCAGGGTCAACTTTCTGAAATACCCATCCAGGAAAACATGAAAGGATGAGGGGCAGCCCAGTCAAGGAGAACAGAGAAAAGACTAGAAGTTGCCCAGGTGGCTGTGATGTTTGGCACACTGGACCCTGAGATGCCTAGAGGGAGGATGAGGTTGGTGGGTGTGACTCTGTGGTGGTGACCTAGAGCCAGATAAGGAGGTTCCATTTTTTCTTTGTGGTGCTGGGGATTGAACCCAGGGCCTTGTGCATTTGAGGCATGCACTCTACCAGCTGAGCTATATCCCCAGCCCCAGGAGGTTCACTTTGGATGTGTTGAGTTCAAAACCATATGGGTGATCCAGGGACAACTATTTCCTAGCCTCTTGGAGCCCACACAGAGCATGTGACTGGCAGTAAGTGATCTCTGTAGCTAGGGCTCTTAATCTGCTACTTACATCACTAGAGCTTTTTCAGTTACTTTCCCCATATTCTAATGTAATGGGCCTGGTTTGGCAGCCAGGCTGAAGAACCTTTGGGCTAGAGGGCATAGAACAGAGGACTGGAAACAGCCCAATGGTAGAACTCACACTTAAGGACCAGGATGAATTGGCATGCTTAGGTTTGGAGTACAGGTTGAAGCATGGAGGCATCAAACTATGCCTTCAAATCATCATTTTGCCTCTGTGATCTTCGGCCTGGTACTTAATGTCTCTGTGCCTTAGTTGTCTCCTGAACAAAGTAATATTGTGTAAAATAGGGGTATTGTCATATAATTTCTTGTGGGTTACTGTGAGGATTCAAGGATTATATTTTAAAAAGTGTATAAAAACCATCATAGAATAATAACGTTTATAAGGTTTAGCAAATTTTTAGCATTAGGGCCATTGCTTCAACATGATGGTATTAGAGCAGCAGTGGTACAGGAGAGGCGAGAGCTTCAAGAAGCAACAGGACTAGTGGCAGGTGGGGTTGAAAAGGGGCACAGGCTGCCTCATTGGGTTTGAAAGGGAAATACTGCAGAAATTCTGGGGTTACCATGGTGTGTTTGGGTGTGTGGGGGGATTGATTTAGCAACATAAATTAAAAATGAAAATAGAGAAAGTCCAGCAGGGATTTAAGGGAAAGGTAACCAGAAAGAATTAAGGATCAGGGAACCTAAGACAAGTAAGCCACTAGAGTCGGAGGTCACCTTTGCCTGGAGTGCCACTTGGGCAGAGCAGGCTTTAGTAGTGCCCAGAAGCTGATGGGAGGGTTAGGGAAGTTTGGATTGGTGAACAGGGGTTCATGGTCTATTTAATGGGTCCCCTTGATCTCTTTCAGAAACAGGGGATATTTATATCTGGGGCTGGAATGAATCGGGGCAACTGGCCCTGCCTGCAAGGAACCTGGCAGAGGATAAGAAGATTTTTACAGAGGAAGGTGAGGGTCAACATGACTTTCAGAGTCATCTCCTCACAATGTTGCTATCATTTCTTACTCCTGGATGTATGCTGGCTGAAGAGCTATGGTGCTCAAAAGCCTGATATCCTTGTCACCCCAGACTACATCACAGGATTTTGAGTCCCTTACTGGGGAGCACTGGCAAGGCTAATGCCAGTCTCAGCACTGCGCAGCCTGCAAGCCTGTCAACTCTAACACTTCCTGTGAGTATGGTGGGAGCATCAGCTTTAAAGCCAGAGAATAATGTGCTCTGTAGATCTGTTGTAGCAATGAGATAATGTGTGAATAAGCTTAATACTCAGTGTTAATAATCATCAGTATAAACATTCCAAAACCACAGGTCTGAATGAAGATGGTTCTGAAGTGAATAGAATATCTGGGGCTGAGGATGGAGCCCCTGCTCCCTTCATAGCTGTACAGCCCTTCCCAGCTCTATTGGATCTTCCCCTGGGCTCAGATGTAGTCAAAGCCAGCTGTGGATCCCGGCACACTGCTGTAGTGACAAGTGAGTGGGGCTGGGCAGGCTTTTCCAGGATGGACTGAAAAGGCATTCTACCTGTGTTCTAGCTGGAGCTACAGAAAAGGGAGTGGTCAACACTCGGGGAGGAGGTGGTGAGGAGAGGTGCGGGGGACGGAACCCAGGCCCTTGCACATGCTAAGAGCACTCTACCACTGAAGGTGCATCCTCAGCAAAGAGTATTATCTTTTTTTTTTTTTCTTTTTAGTTATACATAGACACGATATAGTTTTGTTTATTTATTGTTTTACGTGGAGCTGAGGATCAAACCCAGTGCCTCATGCATGCGAGGCAAGTGCTCTGCCATCAAGTATAAGGCATCTTTACATACTTACTCATTTAATCAAGCTTCTATCCGCAAATAGCTTTAATAATAGCTCCCCAGCCTGTCAGGCCCAGAAGATTATGCCTCCTCCACACTCAGATACTGCCTCATCCAGTGTCCTGATCTCAGTAGCTGCGAGATGCACGCCACTCAGTTCACATATGGGAAGATAAACTTTTTCCACTGGATCCTTTACCACATCAAATTTGATTAGACAGTTGTAAAGAGAGAATATGTTGTTCCATACCACACATATCTTGTGAGGATTGTGACATGCTGGCTATGGGTTGTGCCAGGCCAGTCTAGACCAATGTCTTGTCATAGAATAGAATAATACTGACAGCTATTTATTGTCCTTCTGGTTTTAGGAACAGGAGAGCTGTACACCTGGGGCTGGGGTAAGTATAAGGATTGTTTTCGTGACCCTTAAGCCAAGGGTAGGAAAAGCCTGGAAATAAAGATGGGTGACAAAGCTACATCATCTTGAAGAAGCAGGGGTCTCAACCTGATTACTGGAGGTGCAGAACTGAAAAGCTGTGTGCTCTCTTCCTGGGGTCTAAACAGATCTAGGCACACTCCAGAGAATGTCTACAACCAACAGAGAAATAGTAGATGACATCAGGACTGACAGGCTGGGGAGCTATGACATCTTCCTTTCTGCTATGTTGCCAAGGCTGGCCTTGAACTTGAGATCCTACTTCATCAGCCTCCCTGGTAGCTGGGATTATAAGTGTGCATGCAAGGGAGTGTTTAACAGCATTTATAAAACATGTTTGTGTGTTCTGGCACTAGGTAGAAAATGATAAAATGGAAATCTATGCTAAACATTTTGGTGTAGGTAGCAAGGAAGCTTGGAGGAACCTCTTGCCTGTAATGACTGGTTGCCACTGGACTTTTGGGACCCTGAGCCTGGCCCTAGAGGCTTTCTGGCTCCAGTCTCCTGGATTCACAGAGCAAGCACCAGCAGGGGGTGGGTGTAAACCTTATCCCCTCCTGGCTACTGTCCATGGGCTGCATGGAAAAGTAGCAAGGTCTATTGGAGAGGATGGCAAAGAGGCACATCTCACTTCAGGTAAATATGGACAGCTTGGCCACAAGGATAGCACCAGCGTGGATCAGCCCTGCCTTGTGGAATACTTTGTAGAGAAACAGCTCCAAGTGAAGACAGTCACCTGTGGGCCATGGAACACCTATGTGTATGCTGTGGAAAAAGAGAAGACCTGACGTGTGAATGTATGTATTTAAGTTATAAAATATAGAAAAGTGAACAAAATATGTTAGAAAATTATAAAGTTAACAATTGTGAAACTCCCTTTTGGGAGATAAGGAGAGAAAAAAAGAACTCCTTTTCAGGTTAGGGAAAACCATTGCCAGCATCCATTGTCCTTGTATTTGTCCCTTTCCATCACAGCACTCCCCTTCACCTTAGAGCAGGGGCCTTAACTTTGCTGCACTATAGAAACACTTGGAGAGCACTGGAAACTTTGATGACACAGGCCAGTGTCCCAGATGATGAATCAGAAACTCTGTGAGGCCTAGACATAAATGGGTTTTGAAGTTTTCCCACTACATCCCATTTTTTTTTTGTCCTGAGGACTGAATTTAGGATCTTGCACACTCTAGGCAAATACTCTACCACTGAAGTACACTGCTACCCTTTTTTGAGACAGGGGTCTTGCTAAGTTTTCACCCCAAGCCTGGGTCTAGTCAGTCATTTTCTATACAATGGTGATTGTGCTTCAGTAAGTAGAATCATGGGGTAGAAAAAGAAATTAGGTCCCAGACGTTAATATTTGTTCTAGACTGGCCTGGAACTTGTGATCCTCCTTTCTCAGCCTCCTGAGTCACAGGGGTTATAGATGTGCACCACCACTCTCACCCAGATGATTTTAATGTACAACCAAGACTAGGAACCACTATAGGTCATTTTTTTCACTCATTTCCCTGTAATTCATCAATATGTTGTATTTTCGTTTGATTCAAAATGTTCTGATTTCCCTTGAGAATTTGCCTTAATTTCTAAGTATGTGTACTTCCTAAGAAATTTTCTATTATAGTTTAATTCCATTATGGTCAGGAACATTTTATTTCAATCATTACAAGTTCTTTTTTTTTTTTTTTTTTTTTTTTAGTTAGACATAATACCTTATTTCAATTATTTTTATGTGGTGCTGAGGATCGAACCCAGGGTCTCATGTATGCGAGGCGAGTGCTCTACTGCTGAGCCACAAGCCCAGGCCTCAATCATTACAGTTTTTAAGACAAATTTGTTATGATTTATTTGACTATTTTGATGAATGTAGCTTTTACTAATAACAGATTTTGGTTGGAGTTCTCCACACTTAGGTCTGGCCGATTGGTGCTAGGGTAGTGTTTAGTTCGTCTAGTCTTGCTGATTTTTACCTAGCTATTCTGTATTGCTGGGAGAGGGTTGTTAAGTCCTTGACTGTGGATTTGTCCATTTTTCTTTTCAGTTCTACCAGTTTTAGCTTTGACTGTCTTGAAGCTGCTTTTAAAATATAGACACATTTAGAAGTGGAACATCACTGAAAGTGGCAAAGTAAGAAAACTCTGGGTTCATCTCCCACAAAACCAACTAATAAATTGTATGGTCTTTTTCAAAGAATTGTGGTTGTGGGTTTTGACTTATCCTGTAGGCTCTCAAGAACTGGATGGTTTTATTTATATTTTTTCTTTCTTTTAATATTTTTTTTAGTTGTAGATGGACAAATCTTTCTTTTTTTTTTATTTGGTGCTTAGGATTGAACCTGGGCCTTGCACATGCTAGGTGAGCGCTCTACCACAAGCTCAGCCCTCTTTTTTTTACTTGTTATTTTTGGATTTACATGACAGTATATTTCAGTATGTACATATTGTACATAGTATAACATTCAGGATCTCATTCTGAAACTCTTTTTAAAAGTACAAGTACTGGCTGCAGCAGTCTGGGACAAGGGACAAATCGTTGGCATAAGCAATAAACATAACTTCTGGAGATGAAGAGGTCAGGAAAGGAGATACACAGAGGAAAGGTTTCTAAAAGCTCTCATATGCTAGGGATTGAGAAGGCTAGAACACAGGCCAGAACTAGATACATTACTCAGCAAAAAGCCTGTAAAAAATAATAAATTCCCCTGAATAGCTGCAAGTTCTGTGCAAGCAAGAATTAAAGATTAAGGCAGAGTTATAAATAAATGGTTAAGTGTTCCATTTTAACAGTCAAAAACTGGGGCACATCCCAAAGGTAAATATATACACACACACACACACACACACCAGTTTATTCATGTTTGTTTTATATCATATACCCCTATTATATGGTATATAATTCTACTGCTCAGCAGAAGGGAATGAATTGTGGATACAAGCAACAACATGGATGAATCTCAAAATAATGAAAGTAGTACTGGAAGAACGAGATCAAACAGGAATATATTTTATAGATTCTCCTTATATGGGCTGGGGTTGTGACTCAGTGGTAGAGTGCTTGCCTAGCATGTGTGAGGCATTGGGTTCGACTCTCAGCACCACAAAAAAATGAATAAATAAGATAATGGTATATGTCCATTTACAAAAAAAGAAAAAATTCTTATATAAAAAACTCTGGAAAACGCAATCTGTGGCATCAGAAAGCAAATCAGCAGTTGGTATCAGGGTGAAGATTTCACAGCTGTGCACTTTATCAATTTATCAAAGTATACAGTTTTGCTAGTGCAGTTTATGTCAGTTATACCTCAAAGCTTATTACTTTTTTTTGTTTGTTTGGTACTGGGAATTAAATGCAGGGGTGTTCTGTTACCCCACAGCCTCAGCTTTTTTTTTTGGACATAGGGTCTTGCCAAGTTGCTGAAGTTGGCCTCAAACTTTGCAGTTCTAACTAGAAAAATTTCCATATATCCTTTTGGTCTTTTCTGTTTTCCATAGGCCAAATCAACCAAAAGTTGGTTGTGGGGAAAAATAAACCAAGGAAAAAAAACGCCATGGTATCTTTTTGAAAGGTAACTACACACATTTTAATTTATTTTTAAGAATATATTTATATTTTAAAAACAGGACATGACTAACAGCATGGCTTACACCTATAGACCAAGTCCACACTGGTAAGCTTTTGAGAACCATTTAATGTGTCAACAGTAGTACTGGCGCAGGCAGACAGTAAGAATAAATAATAGTGCTCTGGGAAGTGCAGTAGTGATGTTGAGGGTAGGTAAAGAAGGAGCCTCATCTGTGGAAGCTATAGCAGGAAAACGTCCCCAGTGGTGACATGTGCAAAGCTGCTCATCTCCACAACAGAAATGACCCAACCTACCCAGACGGCCTCCCAACTGGGCTGGCAGCTGCAGGGATAGAAGAACTTGGGCACAGGGGGGCACAGTGGACCCAGAGAGAATTCTGAAGAAACAGTCCAGAAAAGCATGTGTGTCACTCACACACACACACAAACGGATTGCACTGTATATATAACACACTGTACAATTTAACAAAGGTGCTCCTATCCTGTCATCTTTGGCACTGTATCAGGCCACCTCAAATGCTGACACACAGACATCCTCTTTGGGAGGAAGGCTGTCCTGATTGGTGGGGACAGGCCTTCTGGTGAGAGCAAAGCTATCATAGTTACATCATTAACTGAACACCCCTAGACAAAAAACAATGTTAATTGCTAATTACAAGTATACATGCCAAAATTACTTCATTTCTCATCCCCCAAGGTTGGGCCTAGTCAATCATTTTCTATACAACTTGGGTGATCGTGCTTTGAAAAGTAGAATCCTGGAGTAGAGAAAGAAATTAGGTCCCAGATGCCAATATTTGTACTTACAGCTATAAACTAAGTTTTAAAATATTTCTTGAGTCAAAAAATAAAAGCAACTCTCTGTGGACTCACTAAACCCATAACAGACTTTCAATCTGTCACTCTTGTTCATGTCTTTAAATTAGGCCCAAGGTAACAGAACCTGTCCAGGGTTTTAAGCACATTTAAAGAAAAACTAGAGCCACCCCCGTATAATAAGTCCAATCTATGCACAGGAAGCCACAGTGGCTGGCTGGTCAGGGTTTCTCAGGCGTGGATATTGGTTGAATTGAGGATTCGAGAAGTAGCTTCAGATTTGGAAGCCTTTGAAAGTTCTCGCTGTTGAAAAAATAAATAACATCAGTGGCAGTACTGCTCCTATCGTTCATGCCCTTCCTTTATAATCCTAGTTAAGTGTCAACAGAAAGTCCCCTGAGGAGTTTGAGACAGAGAGATCCCTAGTATGTTAGGAATAGGTGAGGAACTGAGCACATGCACACACATGCCCCAGTCGCCTTTCCTCTGCCAGTCCAGTCAAAACTTCACCCAAGAAATCCCTTATACTTTACAGAACTACTCTTGGAGTTGCCAAACTAAGTAAGCAACAAGCTTTGTTTTCATGAGCCCTTAAACAATGGGCCAGACCATGTATCTACCAATCCCTGGGGCTGAGGGCCTTGTAACCTGCTGGTGATTTGATCTCATGCTGGAGCACATGGCATAAAAGCAGAAAGTAAAGCTTTGAGTGACCCCTGAGAGAGACAGATATTAGTAGAGGTTAGTTTAGTCAGTGACTTTGGTGCTGCCTGGTGGAGTGTTATTAGCTTTAACAACCAAAACAAATGAATCCCCCCAAGATCAGCCATAGATAGGCAGTGGATAAAATGGGCCCCAAGTGGATAAAATAGGCCTTGGCTGAGCAAGCAAAAGAGAAAAACACGACCCTCTGTCCAGCACACAGCTGGCCAGAGTGGCACACTATTTCTATAGGTAGAACGACTACCAGGAATATAAACTGGAATAAACTGCCAGAATATGAAGCTGGCTTAAATGTTCCACACTAGCTATATAGCCCTGGACAAGTGTCCCATTCTCCATCCTTTTGAGAGAGAAGGCAGGGGTTGGGGTTGTGGCTCAGCGGTAGAGCACTTGCCTAGCATGCACAAGGCCCTGGGTTTGATCCTCAGCACCACATAAAAATGAATAAAAATAAAGGTATTATATCCAACTACAACTAAAAAATAAATATTTGAGGGGAAAAAAAAGAGAAGGCAGCTTAGGCTTTAACTCTGTATTCCCCAAAGGGTAAGGGGCAGCCTCACTTCTGTTTCATGGCAAGACGTGGAGGAGGAAGCTTGTTAAGGAAAGGCATTGCAGTAAAGTGTTAGTAAATGCAAAGCAGGATAGAAGGAGATAATCATTCTGGAAAAATTACTTTAATCCAGTGCTTCATAAATGCTTTAGCAGCTCAATGTGGTAGAAACAGGCAAATGTAGGGAAAAGACCAGTAGACAAAGTTTGAGATTCAGCCCTGTATTAGTAAGACATATACTCCAGTAAATAATCAGCACACAGGCCAAGAACCTCATTATAAGCAGCACACAGCTGGGGCTCCCCATCCCACATGATGGGGCCTCTATTCTTTCCAGCACATTCTAGGCCTTTGATATCACAACTGGGGAGAGTGAAGGTTTTCTTTTGTGAAATGATGTTTTTAAAATTCTTCACCTGACTTTAGATGGGGCTGAGAATCCAATTCAAGTCTGAACAAGTTTTTCTATTAGTCAGCAGGCTGACAGCCTATTATAGGAAACATAAGCCAGATACTTATTTTTGAAGTTTGTCATAGAATCCTTTTGTTAAAATAGTTCTGTAATAACACAGCTGAGATGATAGGTTAGTGCTGCCCTTTGCCCAGTTGAGAATGAAGCAAGGAGATGATAGACAAGTTTGGAAAAAGGGAACTGGACATGCAGGGGTTGCCATACAGACCTGAAGCCCAAAAGTGGAGCTGTCAGAGTGGGACGGATCCTTCTAAGAACAAAGAAGACAATTACCAAGAACTCCACCAAGAGAGCACCAGGGCAATGATTAGAGAGGGTCACCTCCTGCAGCCAGGGAGTGGTATTATCTTAAGCAGAAGGATCCAAGTTAATGTCTAGTTGCTACTGCCAACTTCCTATACATTTCCTTTCAGCCACCCCCACCCTCACCTTCCTCATGTCAAGGCAGGAAAGGGATTCTCAGCCTCCAAGGTACCTGTGCTGACCAGATAGCCTGGGTGCCCTTGGAAAGACAATGACTGCCCCAACTGTGTGCTCCCCAGAGACTGGTAGATATTAGAAAAGGTGAATTACCGCAAACTCAGAATAGGTGCTGGCAACAAAATTAATGCTGAAGTTGTGCTGGAGAGGGGTCGAGTCAGGGTACCCACCACTCAGGATGCTGCCATTCAACTCCAAATTCTCTTTGTTGGCTCCATGCCTACCGGCACGGGGTGTTTTCTTTCCAGAACAAGTGGAACTGACCACTGGCTAGAGTAAGGAAAGAGATCCATATGTCACCTTAAGATGAATGTATAAGCACACACACAAACTCAAGAGCTAATATCACATTTATATGTCTATAATTTATACTTTTGATTTAAAAACTACTTTTGCTTAATGCTAGGCAAGAGCTCTACCACTACATTTTACCACTGAGATATACTCCTAGGCCCTTGAATTCTTACTGATTTTACAAAATACCTACCTTTGAGAATAGCCTGTAGGATAGCTAAATGGCTAAACATGTTTTGGCAGAATCCCCCTCTGTCTTGAGTATCTGTGTCTAGTGACCCAGTGTCATTGGGCTGGAACCCATGTATAGGGGAACCTAGCTTAGCATCAGCTGAAGACTGGACCTGAGCTCACAGAGACCACAAGACCATCACCTGACTTTTAGTCTCAACACAGTCCAGGGTTTTCATAGTACCAGAGAGGCTCGGTGACGTTTTTTCTCATTGTTAATTTTTTTTTTTTTTTTACTATTATCTAGTGATAATCTGACTTATGTCTGTCAACTCTGAGCATCTCACTGATAACCAAATTCAGGGAGATTAGAAATTAGGACATCTAGATTGAGGAATCTGGGTAACTAGGTGGTGCATACAGAGCTTGCTTACCTTGCTGCCAGAAGGAGGAAGTCGAGACACAGGGGAGCGGTAGACTGTCCCCCCAAAGACGGGCCTAATGCTACTATTGGCTGTAGCATTGGACATGGTAGTAGTGTTCAGCTAGAGAAGAACAGATACATTACTGATATTCAGCCTTTCCAGCAACCCATTTCTACCTAACAGGAAAAAGAATAGGGGAAATAGTCCAGGAAAGATGAGTCTACACAGTAAAGAACCTGCTGCATCTGATATATAGGACTCGAGGAAACGTGAAGTTTTCAAAGCCTGTTTATATCCAGCAGATGGAACTATAAAATAGTATAATCACTTATGGCATGAGACATTTATTATATGACCCAAACACTCTACCCAACAGAAATAAAAGCATATATCCATACGATACTTATTCATAAATGTTTATAGCAGTTTTATAGTCAAAAACCAGAAAGAATACTCAGCAGGAGAAACGGACAAGCAGATTATGATTTGTTTACAGAATGCAATACTGCTCGACAATAAAAAGGAATGGCCTATTGATACACGAAACACCAAGGATGAACCTCAAAGAAATCAGGCTAAATGAAAGAAGCCATACACAAAAATATGTACTTATGATTCTATTTATATTAAATGTTAGAAAATACAAAACTATTCTCGTGACAGTTAATTCCCTAGTTGCCAGGAGCTGAGGAAGGATAAAACTTACAAATATGCAACATTAAATCCCATACAACCATAATGTACCAGTTTAAAAAAAAAAAGTAGTAATCGAATAAAAAGCAAGGGAAAAAAACACTCAACGTCTGAAAATTTGTTCAAGTATTGACAGAGAGTGGAGCCAATCATAACACTTAAGACACTAACGAGCTGCCATTATCGTATTGGAATCAGACAGTGATTAATACAACCGGACTTTTGAAATATTTTACAGCATTCTTAGCAAGAGCTGTCTCACGTGTCTTTTTTTTTTTTTTTAAAGAGAGAGAGATAATTTTAATATTTATTTTTTAGTTTTTGGCGGACACAACATCTTTGTTTGTATGTGGTGCTGAGGATCAAACCCGGGCTGCATGCATGCCAGGCGAGCGCACTACCGCTTGAGCCACATCCCCAGCCCTCACATGTCTTTATATTCTTAGCATTGCTTCCAAAACAAATCATAGAATTTAGTCTTAGTGGTATAATTTATGTTTGTAAAAGTTTATCACATTTCCATAATAAAAAAGTATGTAGATCAAATAGAAAACTAATTTAATAAATGACAATAGTTTTTAAGAGGATAGAATATACAAGTAATAAAGAGTGTATATCTGAAGATAATTTGAAGCTATATAGGGTTTGATCCTCAGCACTACATAAAATAAACAAAAGTAATGTGTACAACTAAACAAATACTTAAAAAAAAAAAAAAGTCATATCATAACCCAGAAAATCCCAATGACTTGGGAGGCTGTGGCAGAAAGATTGCAAGTTTGAAGCCAATCTTGGTAACCCAGTGAGATCCAGTCTCAAAAAGGGGTGGTAGGGAATGGACTGGGGATATAGCTCAGTGGTAGAGTGTTTCTGGGTAGGTTCTATTCCCAATAGTGGGTGGGGGTGGAATAACAGGGAAAAAGGTTAAGAAAAATATCAAAATTAAATAATGTGACCTCTATTATGTAAAAATACACTATTTAGGACTAGGCTGGACATGGTGCCAATGCAAAGAACACCAAATATTTACAGTGGCTCTATTGTAGTTATATTATAATGATTTAAAAAATAATGCACCACCTTGGGGCTGGGGTTATAGCTCAGTTGATAGTGCTTGCCTCACATGCACAAGGCCCTGGGTTCGATTACCAGCACACCCCCCAAAAAAAGGAAAAAACTCCAACCAAACAAAAAAAACCATCTTATTAAAAAGAAAGTAAAATATGATTACTCCCTGACTTCCTGTTCTAGAGATTAAGGGATATTAAAAATCCCATTCATTAAGCATGAAAATTGTCTTTCACCCAGTACTGTGGGCATCTGGTAGAATTACAGGATGATGAACTTCTGAAAGTTTCATCATCAGAGAATGTTAGCAATTATTGGTCCCTAGGAGTTTAATGCCAGGACTCAACAAATGGCATACATCAAAGCTGGTCACTCCTTTACTGTTGTGATAAACCAATACTTTTTTTTTTTTTTTTTTTTTTTTTT